TAGTTTCTAAGTGCTGGGGGGGGGGGCAAAAATGAAATATGATAGCCAAAGACTTTTGAGTTCCTCTCTGTGGCTATGAAAACAATGTTTTCATTGTTGGGATTGAATGCAGGATCTCATACACACACGCATCAAGACTCTACTACTGAGCTGTACAAACCGCACACCCTAAGCTGGTGAATTATGGTGTGTGATATATAGTTCAATAAAACTATTAAAAAATAGTTCTTAGATTTGTGGACTGTGGGGGGAAAGAACAAGAAGCCACCAAGAAGCAAGCCCTCCCTGCAAATGTGTGCCGAGTGCAGGCTGCTGGGGGAGAGCCTGATGCCAACCTCTTCTGGCATGTGGGCTGGGAAACGAAAGAGTCAACCCCACCCCCACAAGTGACCCGCTGACCTGGAGAAACACAGGCTGTGATGATAGCGACTGGGGTAAAATACAATTTAATGCTTGTAGTTTGAGTGTTTCATTGACTTTGCAGGTCTAAGACCAGTAGTCTGATCATCTATTCAGAGGATAACAGTATACTTTGTAGCATCTATGGGGGATCTCCTGCTGAAGGTGGTGGCCATTGTTAGCTCCCTATTATCTTGTTTTGAAGTCCTGTATCATTTTGATTCTTGGGTTGGGTTTTACTGTTTTGTTTTATTTAATTTATTATATCCAATGGCATGGGCAGCTATTTCAAAGATATATTATGGCAGCCATTTTGGATTCACTAATGTCTTGTTTTGAAATCCTGTATTGAATTCATTGTTTTGCTTTTATTGGTTCTAGTCTGTTCTGTTTTGTTTTATTTTTACTATTTCTGAAGGTATGGGCAGCTATTTGGAAGACAACAAGAGGCATTACAGGGCCAGGGATTTAGCTCAGCAGCACAAGTACCTGCCTGGCAAGTGTGAGGTTGCCAGCCTGATCCCTGGTACCAAAAAAAAAGGAGACATTATGGTAACCATTGTTGATTTCTTATTGTTTTGAAGGCCTGTGTCACTTACACTGGTTTACTGATTTGTTTTGATTGGCTTTATTCTGTTTTATTTTGCTTGGTTTTATTCTCTTTAAAATAAATTTTTTTTAACGTTTCCTAGGTGGCTCATGCCTACAATCCCAGCTACTCAGCAGGCTGATAGGATCCAGACCTCTTTTGAAAATAAAGGACGTAAAGCTGGGTATGGTGGCATACACCTGTAACCTCAGTACTGGGGAGGCTGAGACAGGAGAATCAGCTGTGAGCTCAAGGATAGGCTGGACCATATAGTGAATTCAAGGCCAGCAGAACTACACAGTAGGTCCCTGTCTCAAAAAAAGCAAAAAAGTCGTAAACCTGCTTGGTTGTGCACCCTGTAGCTCCATCTGTTAGGGAGGCTGAGGCAGGAGGATCCAAGTCTGAAGCCAGCCTGGGCAAGTTAGGGAGACCTTGTCTCAAGAAATAAAGAGCTGAAGCTGTATAGTTCAGGAGTACTGTGATCCTGGCTTTCTGTCCCCAGTACTGGGGGTGAGTCTCCTGGTTCACATCTAAAAACGTATTAGCACTGCCAATGTGAGTGCGGGCAAAGTGGAAGTTCTGAGAAGCTCAGAGTCAGTACTCAGAGGTGGGTCATCGTACCTCTGGGTGCAGCTGATGGGCTGACCGTGAGAAATGGAGGCGTCAGTTTACTCAGCCCGGTGGGGAGTTTCCCTTGTCTGCCAAGCCCAAGCAGCTGATATGAAACCCACCTAACTAGACTCTGGCCTCTGGCGTCCAATCAAGAAGTCAAACAGGCGTGGCTTTGCCTCTGCCCTTTTTTATCTTTGCTTACAGGGGCTCCAAAGTGGACTCAAGCTATTTTTTCCCCAAACACAACACAGATGTTCGCCAGTGACTTCTTCAAGAGAAGCGGCCTGGGTCAGGTTTAAAGACTCCTTGATGCTGCCTGAAAATGTTTGCTAAGATTTCAATCAAGATCAAGAGAGACACTTTTAGATATCTGCATGCTCTGGGCTGGCTATTAGTAGCACAGATAAAAACTAGAATGTTTCCAGTAATCAAAATCGATGCAATAAACATCTAAAGAAATGTTATCTTTTCAGGCCAAAAACTTCTCCTTGGAGGTATTAGCAAATGAATTGAACACCTACTTATTTACTGTGAATTATTTACTGTGTAAATTTAAATTTACTTAAATTTATTTGGGCTAGTACTTGGGGATTGAACCTTAGGGCCTTTTGCATGCTAGGCCAATGCTCCATCACTAAGCTACACGCCCAGACCCAAAATCCTATTAAAATGTTTACATCTGAAAAGCAACTCAATTTAGATTTTTTTTTCTTTTGGGGGAAACAGAGGGCCACAGTAATTTGCTGTAAGAGTTGAGCCACACGTCCAGCCAGGCACACATCCATAGCACGCTCACATCTCTTACTCACCTTTGCCTCTAAGACAGAGATTAAATCAGACACATGTGCAAATACTTATAAATCATTTGTGGGAGTTTTGGCAATCTAAGGAAATAATTGTCTCTGTTTGGAGCATGACCAGAGTCTCTCTCATTCACAGTTTCAGTGACCCATGGTCCAAAAACACAGTAAGACATTTTGAGAAGCCACAGGCTTCTGACTTGTGTTGCAGGATATTGTCATAACTGTTCTATTTTACAATCCTGGTTAATCTCTTACTGTGCCTAACTTATAAATTAAACTTCACCGTAGATGCATGTGCACAGGAAAACGGATAGGATACAAGTATATTCATCAGATTAGGGTCTGTCTCAGGCTTCAGTCATTCATGCAAAAAAAATCATTGAAAAAAACAGTTTATCAGAAGATGCTAAGTAAAGGCAGATCAAAGAAAATTAGGCCACCCTTATTCTCCTTGTGTAACTAGAGATATATAATAGGATATTCAAAGAAAGTACCCACAAACCTTCACCAGGTTTGTGTGTTAGGGTTTGCCTCCTCCCCTTAAGATATCCATAAAGTTACAGTCAATTTTTAAATTTTAAAATGAAAATAAATACACACTTTAGACAGGTATAATGGTTCATAGTGGTTCATGCCTCTAACTCTGCTATGCAAAAGACTGCGGCAGGAGGATCACAAGTTTGAGGTCAGTTCTCTCTCTGTCTCTCTTTCTCTGTCTCTGTCTCTGTCTCTGTCTCTCTCTATCTATCTATATATAAAACTCTTTTCTTTCGAGTGTTGCTTTTTCTATTAAAAATACCATTAGTATAATTTAATTTATCAAAAAAATTTTAACTCATCAAAAACTTCAAAATCATGTATTAAGTAAAGCTCAGAGATTTGAAATCCTAGTATAATTAAATTTTGCTTTTTTCACTGAGCTACATCCCCAACCCAAGGACTACTTTTTAAAAGTTAAATTGATATTTTGTGCTTTATCCATTCCTGCATGTGAGACACTTTTGTTGAATGTAGTTTCACGTTATTATGAGTAACATAGTAGATTTATCTCTGTATGATTTATCTCTGTATCTGTGTGTGTGTGTGCGCGTGCTTGCGTGCATGTGTGCGTGTGTGTGTGTGTGTGTGTGTGTGTGTGTGTGTGTGTGTGTGCAGTGCTGGGGGTCTGACCCAGGGCCCTCCACATCCCAGGACAGGGTTCTACCCATCTTGCCCCTTCCTCCCCCTACCTTATTTTTTCTTTTAAAAAAATTTATTTACAGTAAATTCTCAGCAATGCTTTTACTAGTTCAAAGGTCATGAACGTTTTTTATGGGTCTTAATATGTAACATATTTCTTCCTTGCCCTTCAAAGATTACACCAGTCTTGCTGGGTGCGGTGGCACAGGCCTGTAATCCCAGCTGCTCAGGAGGCTGAGGCAGTGGAATTTCAAGTTCCAGGCCAGCCTGAGCAACTTAGGGAGACTCTGTCTCAAAATAAAATTTTAAAAAACAGCAGGGTTGTAGCTCAGCTCTTGGCTAGCATGCATAAGGCCTTGGGTTCAACTCTCAGTACTGCAAAAAATCATGCCAATCTTCATTATCACGAGCTATGGGAAAAAGAATCAGACCTCTCAAGAGGCTTAGAAATCTCATGAGTTTTTCTTTTTTTTCTCAAGCATTTCACTTTCTTTTTGTTGCCTTAACATGTCTATTAGAGGGGCTGGGGATTTAGCTCAGCGGCATAAGCACCTGCCTTGCAAGCAGGCGGTCGTGAGTTCGATCCCCAGTACTGATAAAAATGAAAAAGACCAAAAAATAAATAAATAAATAAACATGTCTATTAGTGTTTTAATTTTGATTTCTTCATTATGGTTGATAATTTCTAAATTATCAATATGCCAATCACTAGTGTAAGGAGTTGATGTATTTAAAATTACAGGTTTTTACAAGAACAACTTAAATATATACCTCAGTGCATGAAAATATAAAACCTACCCTCTTTATTTATTTGTTTAAAAATACATTTTTAAATTTCCAGAGAAGGACTGGGGAGTATAGTTCAGAGACAGAGTGTTTGCCTCGCATGTTTAAGGCACTGGATTTGATTCCAAGCTCTGCAAAAAACAAAACAAAACCTTAAAAAAATTCTATCCAGGCATGGTGATGCTGTAACCCCTGCACTTGGGAGGCTGAGGCAAGAGGATCAATGCAAGTTCGAGGCCAGGCTGGGCTACGCAGTCAGAGTTCTGTCTCAAGAAACCCAAAATAAAATTCAATTCAATTAAAAACTTTAATAATATAAATTTAAATGATTCAGATAATAAGTGATATCAATTCATAGAAGCAAAAAGGCACAGAAAATTTAACTATGAAGGAAAGTAGCACTACCTTAGATTGATCAGTACATTTAACCTTTGTACACAAGAAAAAGTTAATTCAGAGATATTATTCCAGAGGGAAAAAAGAATTTCAGAATAGAAAGTCCATTTAACCATCTCATCCTTCCTTAACAATGACTATTAAAAATCCCCCAAGGAACTCGGAGGGTAAATACCACAATGATAATATTACTAACTTCTTTAAGTATTGAAGCAAACCATTCAGTGAAGACCTACCTGATCTCGCCAGGCACATCAAACCGATGAATATGTACAACTTCAGCATGTGGCAGCTGAGGGGTCCTGTGTCACCGTCCCAGGACTGCTGATTTCCTTGGCAGAAGCTGCAGAGAGCGCCTAGACGGCAGGCTGTGTTCACAGAGCTCTGATAACTAACCAGGAGGTGCCTGAGAGAGGCAGCAGCTCCACACCCAGTCAGGATCTCGACTCCACCTCTTCTCAAGGAAAGGTCAGTACTTTCTTCTTTACACAGTTTAATGCATAGCATAATATTATAATTTGCATCTGCAGAATGACGAGTTCAAAATAGTTTCATTCTCTGTGGGCGGTTTACTAGCTGTGTGGCTTGGTGTGTTGAAATCCAGTGTGATGGGAGAGATTTCCCCGCCTCATTCTTATGAATGAAAAGGCAAAGGCAGTTAGTATTCTTCTGCCTGTGTATACAAACCCACTTTTTAAAATATGTTCATTCATACACTCATTTCTCACAGGCAGTCTTTCGATTTTTACTAAGACCATTTCATTAGGTCCAATTGCCTATCTGCTTTGCAAAATATGTCTGTGCTTCAGATTAAAAGAAACTTTTGCTTCTAGATTATAATCTTTATTTTTATTTCTCTCTAGCCAGAGGTTCTATCTGCCTAATAGTTCTTTTCATTTTTTAATGAAAATGTAAATGAGTAAGCTTAAATACCGACCTGTATCAGAATCTAACCCACTGCAGTATTAGATGAACTAAACTTATGCTTCATAGCAAAAGAAAGAAAGGAGACATAACTATACAACAAATTAATTCCCTTTCTGGTGAAAGTGCTTGCAGCATTCAGGCTCCTGTCTATTTTAGGAGCTTAAATGATCAGGACACTTCAGGAATATGTTCTTATCCAAAGCGTTAGGTGAGAGCCATCAGTCAGTCGGCTCTGCCTCTCGGAAGCACACATTTGTGAAAGGGTAGAGAGCACTTTTTATGTGTTTGTCAGTTTCTCTGTCTGTGTCTCAGTTAAATAGCTAGAGAGTCCTTATCGAGAATACAGTACCTTCCAGTAATTTACCCAAAAAGCCAGTTATCACAATCTCCTGTTGCCTTGGGCCTGGGAACTGGGCAAGGGGAGAGGTAGGAAGAGGCCATCTATCTTCTTTTTTGCCTTTTTTTCATTTTTTATTTTGAGACAAAGTTAAATCATTATATTGCGCAGGCTGGACTCAAACTGGCATCCTCCTGCCTCCACTTCCCAGACCTGAGGGGCTTTTAAAAGTTCTGTGTGTAAACTTGGCCTGTAATCCCAGCACTCAGGAGGCTGAGGCAGGGGGATCACTGACAGTTTGAGGCCAGCCTGACGTAGATAGTGAGACCTTGTCTCAAACAAAACAAAACAAAAACATTCTGGTATAGATTTCTGTGTCATACTTCAGATCTAATGACATGGAGATGAGGAGTTCTGTCTTCCACTAGTTGTGTAACCTTAAGCAAAATATTTAAATTCTTGACAGCTGGGCCAGGGATTTAGCTCAGTGGTGTAAGGGCTTGCCTGGCAAGTGCAAGGTCATAAATTCAATCCCTGGTACCCAAAGACAAAAACAAAATTCTTGACAGCTTTCTCTGCTATAGAGTGAAGACAGTAACCTCATGTATCCACAGGTATGCTAAAAGGGTGAAAAGAGATAGCACAGCTGAAGTCACCAGCAGGGTGCCTATGACCAAGGTAAGCCCTGTGCCCACTCAGTAGCTACTGTGGGTGCTCGCAGGTCACAGGCCTGGGCCTGCCCTCCCCTCAGAGCAATTAGAGTTCCGGTGAGGTTTCAGGAGTGGGGCCTCTGGGTGGTGGGGTCTCAGTGCTCTGGTTGAGAGACTTTAGTGGGCTTTAAATCTACCTTTTTTTCCTTTTTTCTGCCTCTTGCCCGATAAATTAGAGAACCATAAACAGGAAAATCAACTAGCTGACTTACTTTTTTCAGCTTGTCAGTTTGCAAATGACTGCCCTTTGGAACAAAATGGTGAATTGTTTTGCTGTCTCTCTTGGTAACCTGTTAAGGAATGTGTTACTCCCTGCTGGATCAGTGTACTTGCCTGATAAATATTTGTTGTGTTCCTATGCCCAGTGCTTATCAGTCAGAGTCAATATACATTGGGGATCAAGAATCCTTACTATTGGCCAGTCCCTGCCACATTGGCTGTAGGGTGTAGACATTGTCCTACCTGCTTACCATGTGCTTCTTGCTGTGTTCCATCAGCACAAGAATCAGATTTTTAGGTTGGCTATAGACTATAAGAAAACAGGCCAAGCTCTGTGGCACACATTAATCCCAACATCCAAGAGGCTGAGGCAGGAGGATTCTGGGTTTGAAGGAAGCCTGGGATACATATTGAGTTCAAAGCCAGCCTGGACTCTGTAGAAAGATCCTATTGTAAAAAAACATTCCCAAGAGTGGAGGGAAAGGAAAGGAGAATGCTTCTGACTACAAAGAGATAATATAACAATATTTTCATTTGTTTTTCCTTTTTGATGTTGGAGGTGGAACCCAGGGGTCCCCCAGGTGGAGTAAGTGTTCTACTACCCAGCTGTACCCCAGATCAGCTGGCTTTTCATGCTTCGTTGTGGTAGGGGCTGGAGGCACCAACACACTTGATTGGGTGGCCCAGAACTCCAGGCTCATGGGCACACTTGGTGCTGTGGATTCTACCCGGTTAGTCTTCCGGTTAGAGCCACACTATTGGCTGTGTAACACGCTACATTTGGGGAACTGGGTGAGGGTACACAGGAGCTGGGTGGACCCAACTTCTCAGGAGCCAATTATTACCCCCCAATCAAAGATGCAGCGTTTTTCTACCCAATCCAGGCTGGCCTCGAATTCTCGTTTCCCCTGCCTCAGCCTCTGGAGTGCTGGAACTAGAGGCATGCACCACCCCATCTGGCTTTCAAAAATGTTTCTAAAATCCCCCAAAGGACCAGGGATATAGCTCAGTGGCACAGCGCCTGCCAGGCAAACACAAGGTTGTAAATTTGATATCTGGTACAAACAATAATAATAGAATCTCCCAAATTAGATCAACTCTTCCCATCCCTATGGAGAACATTCATTTAAAGGTACTTTAAGGAAAACCATTTCTTCCTCACCCATCAGCGACTTTCCCAGTCCTATGACAGATAAATGACTCTGGTTGATGTCACAGTTGTCTCATCTCCATCGCCCTTAGAAATCTGCAGTACTATGTTCTGTTTTCTTTCTCTGTAACCTAGAAATCACTTGCCACAGAGGAGGGTGGCAAACTTCCAAACGAGGGGACAGGAAAAACAGGTACGAAGTGGAACTCACTGCTCCCACAGCCAGGAAGGTGGCTCTGTCCCCACCCCCGCCAGCGAGGGCTGCACACTGTAACCCTTTGTCATCTGTCCGCAGGAGTGACACTGCCAGCTCGCACCTGTCATTCACGTTTGAAAAGTCTATTTCTTCCATTCGTATCTTACAAGTAGATCTGGGTGACTCCCCCAACCATACAGTTGTGTCACTTCCCCATTCTTCCATGCGGCAAACATTTCTTGAGCTCCCATTAAAAGAAATAAGAACTGGGAATGGTTTTATCAGCCTGTAATCCGAGCTACCAGGAAGGCTGAGGCCAGAGGATCAAAAGTTCAAGCCCAGCCTGGGTCATTTAGCACCTCAGTCAGACCTCATTTCAAAATTAAAAAATAACAAAGGAGCTGAGGATATCATTCAGTACAAAGGTTCTGGTTCCTTCACTCGTCCCAGAAAAATAAAAATAAAAAGGGCTGGGGTTGTAGTTTAGTAGTAAGATGCTTTCCTGACATGCATGAATTCAACTCCAAGAGTTACCAAAAAAAAAAAAAAAGTAAAAAGAAAAAGAAAGAAAACAGAGTACATTTCCTTCCCTCATGAGACAGTCATTATTATCAGCCATTAGTGACAACAATATTATGAAATGTGGATATAAATCCTATAACACAGAATAGGACCTGTTGCCGTTGGTTCTCCTGGAGGAGCTCATCGAGCTTTTCATATGAACTTGGCTGTTCTCATTATCAGAGGAGCTCGGGACCTCATTGTCACTGAGAGTGGCTATTGTAACTTTAGGGGAGCCCTGGCCCTTATTTTGAGCATCACTTCCTAGCTCCAGTGCAGAACCCTGCTGGCACAGGTTCTTCATCCTGCTGGCACAGACTTTCTAGCTTCCACCGCTGACAGCATAAATCCATGAAATGGATTTGCATGAGACATTGTCATGAGCTCTAGGTCTTCAGCTGGCCTCAGGCAAGACATTGCCAGGGGATCCAGGCCCTAGCTGGATTCTTTGGGGTCTTTACTATGTGAACAGATTTTCTGCACTTTTTGGATTTGACTCTTTGGGTGACTATTATAAAGTAAATCTATAAATTATGTGTTCTGTATTAAATTGTTCTCTTTGCATTCCCCGACTATAACACTTGTGTCAATTCATTAGTATATAGTAACACAAATAGAACTTGGTATGGTGGCATACACCTGTAATTCCAGCACTCCAGAGGCTGAGGCAGGAGGATCACTGCAAGTTCGGGGTCAGCTTGGGTTGTATAGTGAGTTCAAGACTAGGCTGGACTACATAGAGAGACCTTGTCTCAAAAAACCAAAAGAAAAAAACATAAATTGAGCTGAGGTTACCATTCAGTGGCAGTTTCCTTAGTATACATGAAGCTCTGGGTTGCATCCAAAAAGAGGAAAATATATATTGTATAAAAAATATACAATAAATACTTATACATAAAACAGTATGTTAATATCATTATTTGCCAAATAAATTCCTTCTTTGGTGATTTATTAAAAAACAAGAAGAAAGTATCTGCCTACTGATTTTCTAGCTTAAGAAGAATTTTTTATATGAGGTGAAGAGGCACACATCAGAAATCCTAACTATATAAGGGAGGCTGAAGCAGAAGAAATTACTTAGGTCAAGTTATTCCAAGTTAACCAATTAACACAGGGAGATCCCTATCTCAACTTTTTTTAAAAAAGTATTTTTCGGGGCTGGGGATTTAGCTCAGTGGCATAAGCACCTGCCTTGCAAGCAGGCAGTCGTGAGTTCAATCCCTGGTACCGATTAAAAGTTAAAGTTAAAAAAAAAAAAAAAAAAAAAGTATTTTTCATGGTCTAGACTACAGTTACTTTTTTTTAGAGACATGCATTCCTTATAATGTATCAAATAAAACCACATAACCAGTCCTTTCAGTAACACTTTGTTACTGAACTCATTTTGTACAAAGCACTGTACAAAAATGTTAAGAACTGCTAGAACAAGACAGAGTCTCACTGTG